CTCTCGCAGGCCACGCCCCGCACACCTGTGCGCCAGGTTCTGCTGGAGAGAGCGGAGCTGAGTGAGTTTGTTCTGCGTCTTTTACGATTTTTTTTTATTTTTCCTTTATTTGGATATAGATAAAATTTAAATCATGTAATTATGTAGTCTAAACCTCTCAGGAGAAAGGGGTAAAACACCTATTTTCATTGGAATCTAAACAGCATTTTTTTGTTCACAAAATCATGCGTGTGCATTTATCCAAACACACAGTTACCTACCTAAAATTGAAATGTTTTTCATTATTTTCCAGAGTTTGTTGTGTGATTCTGCTCTTACTGTATATTCTTGGTAACATTTTCGCTTGCAACTAATACTTTTAATTGGGCTTTAAATTTTTAGTTTAGTGTATTTGGGAAGGACATGATTCGCACTAAATACTGGGAGTATAAACGTAAGTATAAACAAAGTATAAACATTTTATTTATTTCTTTATACTATCTTATTGAGATATATTATATGCTCTCTGCCCTGGTGAAAACGCCGTTTGCTGCTGAGAAAACTTAGTTTTAAGTATCTTTAAATGTTCTAAATGTGTTCTTGTGTTTCCAGTTTGGTGGCTTCCGGCAGGACGGACTTGGCTCAGCTGCTGAAATTATCTGTGTAAGTATAAAACGTTTTATTCGTTTACACGTATCGTATTGAAGTACACTATATACTGCTACTGTTTGAAAACGTGATGCGCCTTGTTAAAAGAAGACAATAACTAGCCGATACTAGAGTTCTCCAGGGCAGAAGTGGTTTTAACCAGACAACACTGTAGGCCTGCTATTTATATTATCATTTTCTGCTAAAACTGAGATCACTGTCGCATTTTTAATGCGCATAATACAGATTCATTAGAAGCCGTTTTAGCTTCCAAATTGCATCACAGCAATGAAGATAACGGAACCTATAAAAATATGGATTGGTAATTTGTGCGTTAAATACGTTGTTGCAGAAAAGACTATGGTAATCAAAATGGTTATGGTAAAAAAAATGCACATTAGTAGTAGTAGTTTATAATCGACACGCTGTAGCTGTATTGTGTTCCTGTATTCACACTTTAAATGTAACTGCTTCTATACCTTGTTGAACAGAACACTCTGTTGCACCAGGCTAATCGCTTTATT